GGGAACTGAAGGTCTGGGAAGGAACAGCACCCCATATAAGGATATGTGCAGAATGCCAAAAAGTGGGGAGAGACAGACTGAGAGCCTGAGGCTTTTTGGTTTCCCAAGGATAAGCTCTGGGCCCAGGACTGCCCTTCTAATGCTATGCACTGTGCTGCTTGGAAGCCTTAGCACGCCCAAAGGGGTCTTTCCTGTTTATCTTTCTCCTAACATCAGACCTTCGTCATTTAGTAAAACCTCTGCTGCTAAGTTAGTGTGCACTCATAAAATGTGTCATGTTAAATTTAAATACTCCATGGGCCAGTGAGATGGCTCAGCAGTTAAAGGCACATGCTGCCAAACTTGGTGACCCAACTTTCATCCCCAGCATCCACATAATGGAAGGAAGGAACTAAACTCTTGTAAATTCCCATCTGGCCTCCACATACACACTGTAGAACTTACACACACACACACACACACACACACCATGCACACATGAGCGCATAAAATAAAATGTTTTGTGAACATTGTAATATGTTCCCTGAAAACTTCATATGGCAAGAGACAAAATGTCAGCTCAATAGTCAGTGGTGTGTGAGGAGAGGTGGGGTAGATTCAGTGATCTGCAGTCTATACTCCAGCTGTACATCATCTACTTGAAGAAAGATGGGGTCAAAGGGGCATGCTAAATGCTGTTTTCTCGGCTTCTGTTAAGAGGGCATCCAAAGCATGAGCACGGTAAAAAAAAAAGGGGGGGGGCAGGAGAAAAAAGAAAGTAGTTCCAGCGGTGATCAGGCATTTTATAGGGAAAAACACTTTGTAGGTTGAAAAACAGCCTCTGCCATCCCGTGAGGCTGTTCCCCAAAGTACACGAAGTCTTTCACAGTCCGCCCAACCTTCTCCTGAGGCTCTTGGATCTTTCACCTCGGTATTTTAAGATGTGGGAGAGCGTCGAGTCAGACTCGAGCTTCTTGAGAGACAACAGATTCCTGCAGAAGGTTGGGTTGCGGATCATGAACCGTCCAGAAACGAAAGAACACACAAAACAGGACCTCCTAAGCCTGCTGTCCAAGCTGTCCAAGGAAGCCTCTGGGTGGCGCCTACTCCCTGACAACTAATGATGTCAAACGCTTTGGGGACACCGATTGGCTAAATTACTTGGCGCGCTCCAGGTTAGGGAGAGCGAGGGCAGCTCCGCGAGACTGGCTAGCGATCGACTGGCTCCTCCTTAGCGCAGTAAGCGTCCTTGGTGGCCCAGTGGTCGCTAAGCAACGGGAAACATTTTCTCCTGGGACTAGGCTTTCGGTTCCCAGACAAGGTATTGCTGGGCCTCTGGAGACCCTTCAGGAACTCTGCTGTTGAACCGCTTGGTGAGTCCGGTGGAACTGAGCCTTCGGCAGAGCCAGACACTCAGCATCGCCTACCATCTTGGGAGACAGGAATGCGAGGACTAGAGATGCTAGGCTTGCCTAAGACCTCTTACTGACTGTTCAAATCTAGACCTGTCCTATTCAATAGACACCAGGTATAAATTCACCTGGAAAAATAAGATATAACCCTGCTTCACACTACACCATTATGTATTGAAATTATAGATTAGATGTTGGTAAAGCACATCATTAAAATCAAGACCTCTCATTTCTTTTCTTTCTTTCCTTCTCTCTTTCTTCCCTCCTTTCTTTCTTTTTTACTATGTAATTATATACAGAAAACTTAGAACCCAGTTTTGTGGTGAGTTCCTTAGCCTTTGCCTTTTCCAGCTTGGCAATGCGAGCCACATACTTAGGACCCAGGACCCCCATCTTTTGACACAGGGCAGGCAGAAAACCCACCAGCTTAATGGGGTCTACATCATGGGCAATCACCACCAGATGAGCCTTCTTGTTCTCCACCAAGGTGGTGACTGTATTGACTCCTGCTTGGAGGACAGAAGGTCTCTTAGTTGGGACGTCCACTTTGCCAGCAGCTTTCTTCTCAGCACGGGCCAGTAGCCTTTGCTTCTTCTCTTGCTTTGTCTCTTGCTTGCTTGTGGGCAAGCTTAAGCAGCTGAGTAGCTGTTTGCCTGTCCAGGGCCTGGGTGAACTGGTTAATGGCAGGAGGTAATTTGAGCCTCTTATAGAGGATGGCTCTTTGCCGCTGCAGCCTGATGTAGCAGGCCCATTTGATGAAGCATGTTAGATCTCTTTTGGGCTGGATGTCCTGCCCAATGCCTAAGTTTGTGGGCCTTTTCTTGAACAAAGGATTGACTACCTTTTTGGGCTCCTGTTTCTTGACGGTGGGGGCCAGGGCCACCTTCTTCCCCTTGGCCTTCTTTTCTTTGGGCACCTTGCTCGGCTGGAGGAGAGAGAAAGAAGAGGGAATTGTGGGTGATGAGACCTCGCATTTCTAATAGGCTTACTAGAGAAGTTAAAATTGCATAAAAGGCTTTTGATTCCTATTGGCACTGAGCTAGATTAAAACATAGGTATGTTAATACCTGATTCAAGACGTTTTTGTTTTTACTTTATGTGTGTGTGTGTGTATACACCTGTATGTGTACCTTTGCATGTGCATAAGGGAGGCTAGAGATATTGGACTATCTTCTTTAATTGCTTCTCCATTGTTTTTTGAAACAAGGTCTCTCACTGAATCTGGAGTTTGGCTAGCTTGGCTCGTAGTCCCTGAGCAGCTGCCAGGCCCCATCTTCTTGCCCCAGCCTACAGCCACCACCATAAGATGCCTCCACAGAAACACTCCTCAAGCAGCTCAGCAGTGATGGTGCCTCAGCCATAGCCCCATGTGGCCAGGAAGGCCTTCCCATCCCAAACCATGGACCCAATGTAGGGAAAGGTGTGTGTGTGTGTGTGTGTGTGTGTGTGTGTGTGTGTGTGTACAAAAGCCACCAATCCATGGCTGGCTAGCAAGCCCTAGGATTCACCTCTCTGCTTCTACTTCCCAGTGCTTTGGTTACACGCACTGCTTTCATGCCTTGCTTTTTATATGGGAGCTAGGGATCCAAACTCAGGTCCTTATGCTTGATGTCCTCTTTGGGTTTTTTGTTGTTTGTTTGTTTGTTTGTTTGTTTTGTTATCTTGACACAAGCTAGAGTTATTTGGAAAGGACTCCCAACTGAGAAAACACCTTTGTAAGATTGGCCTAAATACTTGTCTGTCCAGCATTTTCGTGGTTGATGATTGATGTGGGAAGGTACAGTCTACTGCAGGCTGTACCACCCTTGAGTAGGTGATCCTGGGTTGTATAAGAAAGCAAGCTGAGCAAGCCCGGAGGAGCATGCCAGGAAGCAATGTTCCCTAGTGGCCTTTGCTTCAATTCCTGACTTCGGTCCCTGCTCTGACTTCCCTTCAAGATGAGCTGTAAGATGAAACAAACCCTTTTTTCCCCAAGTTGCATTTGGTCAGTGTTTTACCCACAGCAATAGAACCACTAAGACCCTCGTGTAACAAGCAGTTTACAGATGGAGCCATCTCCCCACACCCCTTACCTGCATTTAAAAAAGCTAATTCCTCAGGAAATGTTATGCGTACTCGGATCTGAAAAATGTAGTGAGAAATGTAGAAACGCCCATCTCTTCCAAATCTGGAGTTTGGTAAAACGTCTCAGTCATTATCCCTCTGGTTCAAGCACTCTGTTGGGGAAGAGCTTTGACTAGTTTTCTTTGAGGTGAGCATGTGAATTCAGTTCTCCCCAGTCCTTAATGCTCTCTCTGCTTCCCATGCCTCTCCCCAGTTCTTTTGTCTAACCTGACATCTTTTTTTCTTTTCATTTGTGTAGGATTAAGGATGGCTTTCCAAGGCACAGAGAATGAAATTGACCTGAAAAGTACTGAACACCAGGAAGAAGAAAATCCTGTGCTTACCAGACTAAACAAAATCAAAGCAAAAGGAATTCTGAATTATGTAACGCTCAAAGAAAACGAACCCAAACCTCAAACCCTGGTATTTAGGCACAGCACGAAAGCTCAAGAGAGGACCAGGAAGAGACAGCAGCCTGTGAAACTGGAGCCTCTGGTAAGTTCAAAAAGGAACCCCCAAGCAAATAGATCACACATATACACATATATACACAAACATACAATACACACGAACACACACATACACACACAAACACATACACACACACACAAACACATACATATAAACTCACACAGAAGCACACATACACACAAACACACATACACACAAACATACACACATACAAACACAAACACCAGAGTTTTTCAGATAGGTTCTCGCTATGTAGCCCTGGATGATCTGGAAATTGCTATGTAGACAAAGCTGGCCTTGAACGTACATCAATCTGCCTGTCTCTGCCTCCAGCGTAACTTTGAAAAGTGCTTTGAGTTGCCCTCCAGAAAGATAGAACTATTCTTTCTGCTCATAATGGAGGTGAGGGTGTGCACACCCACACATTTGTGGACTTGGGCCTTTACTTTTGCTAGACACACAGATTTACAGTGATTCATATTATTGATGTAAGTCACATTACATTTGATTAACACTTGGATTAAAATAAGTGTCACATTTTATTAAATTATTTTCTGCATCTATGAAGGTTTTCATGTTATATTTCCCATAATTCACATTTGGCTCTTTTAATTCTTGATTCAGTTTTTAATGCTTGAGTAGTTTCTCCATAATAAGGTCCTATCTTTTTCTTGTAAAACCGATTGTTGACTATTTTAATTTTGTTCCTTATTTTGAAAGAAGGCCCTGTCGGGGGTCTGGAGAGCTGATGCAGCTGATAAAAGCATTTGTTGCTCTTCTGAAGTTCCCGAGTTCAATTCCTATCACAACCACCCATAATTACAGCTCTAGGGATACAACACCCACTTCTGGATGCTATGGGCACCCATACACATACCATACCATGTAGTGCACACATACTCAGACACATATGGAAGAATAAAAGTAAGGAATTCTGTTTATTGTCAGTATTGTCCTTTTAAATTCTCATATTTAATGTTCAGCTTTTGTTTTCAAGACACATATATAAATATATATATATGTAAATAACAGATATAACTAATTCTAATATTCCTGCCTTTATAACTGAGCCAACCAGTTTATTTAGCTTTCAAACTACAACAGGTCGAGTTGAACTCCCTAACCCTTTGCATTCATTGCCGCCATTTATTTGCATAATACACCGAGTAATACCCAAGACTTCTTTTCTGCTGCCACGACAGAAGTATGTGGTTATAATAGAAACTCTGTGGCCCATAACACTTAAAACATTTATCTATGGTACAAAGCTTTTTTCTGAATCTCATTCCATAAGTTTCTGTCACTGTGACAAAATACCCCAGGAAATCAGCGTAAAGAGAAGAGATGTGCTGTGGCTCACGCTTCGTAGGCTTCAGTCCATGGGCAACCAGCTCTACTGCTCTGGACCTGCAACAAGGCAGAGTAAGGTGCTGGTGGAGTGTGTGATGGAGGAGGCTGTGGCATCCAGGAAGCAGAAAGGAAGAAAATGGAAGGAGCTGAGCACCATACACACCCTTTAATGTGTGTTCCAGACATCCTGCTTCACTCAAGTGGGCCCCAGCTTCTAGTTTCTACCATTTCTTAGTGGTATCACTGGCTGAGAACCAAGCCTTCAGCAGATAAGCATTTAAGGAACATTGCAAATGCAAACTTTAAGGCAATTGTTCTCGGCGCTCTGACAAAAACTAAGAATTGGATACTACAGTAGTCTGAGTGAGAATGATCCCCAGATACATTTGAATGTCTGGTTTCAGCTTGAGGAACAATTTGAGAGTCTTAGAAGTTTCAAAAGTCTCTCTCCCTCGTTGCTCATGAGTCAGATGACAACTCTCAGCTACTTCTCTGGCGCCATGCTTACCGACTTCCTGCCTTGCTCCCCACCATGATGGTCATGGACTCACCCTCTGAAACCATAAGCAAGCCCCCAGCTAAATGCTTTCTTCTATAAGTTGCCTTGGTCATGGTGTCTCTTTACAGCAACAGAACAGCAACAAAAACAAATACTAAAGGTGATAGTGATATTAATGATCTT